GGGGGGGGGGGGTCTTCGACCTGAAAAATCAGGGGTTAGGATTTGCACCCGGTCGAAAGAAACCTTGCTATCGCAAGAGTAACTCCAGCTAGCTTCGCTAGCTTTCGTGATATCCTCCGCACCATGGGAGATGATACGAGTTTGTGGGTACCCATTTTAAAGAATCCTCATGACACTGGCACAAACCATCCTAAAGTGTGTACTAAACCATCGATTTCAAACACCATGAAACCATCACTACCCGCTAGATCCCGCTAGCTCGCTGCTCGCTGAGCCCCACGACTGAAGAAGTCGTTGTTGCGCAGGAGCGAGCGATCGATGATGTTTCGCCAGTGCCTGGGTCGATCCGAGCTGAGTGAAGCCACTCCAAGCCTGACGAGCTACGTCACCGGCTGCACACGGAAGACGTATATACTTCTCTTGGGTGGGGATGTGTTTTTGGGCATGGACGCCAGAGTTCCAGTTTTCAGCCACTGGGTAACTGGGTAGGACCAGCTTTGAAGGACCAGAGTTGCCATCACAAAAGGGCCAGCAACTGCAATTTCACTTGTGCAAGCAAACAGGACCAGAGCTGCAAACCACAAATCCCTTTTACTCTTCCATTCGCTTCGAAGTCTACAATAAACAAAATGAGCTGAGCCAATGTGAGCCGGGGTGATCATTGTTTCTCTTCCATCACTCTTCTCCGCAAATCCCATTTGCTTCGCCCCAAAAGACGACCCGTGTTCCCACCGGGACCGACCGCAGCTCGTCAATCCCACTCCGCACTGGGGCGGCCCGTCGCGTCGTCGCACTCGAAGCCCAGCTTGACGATGGACTCGTTGCTCCACATCATTTGCCCCACCGCCTCTTCCGTGGGCCTCGTCGGCGAGACGTCTGTTAAGGCCCGCCGGCGGCACGGAAGCGAAGAGCGTCTTGAACGCCGGCGGACGGGCGTCACAAAAGCACAGGTCGACGGAATGGGAAGTCTATGAGTTATGATATTGTTGTACATCCAATGCCTGAGCACTCACAGAATCTAAAAAAAAAAGTATCGATACATATCGCTATACCCCATTTAGCAAGCACGAAGATGTACGAATGCAACAGTCCATCCAGGCGCCAGCAAGCCCACTATCGCGTTAGGACATGTAAAATTACTTCACCATTCTCAAATCTTTAAGTTAACAAGCAAATGGTGTTGCATGGTTTTTATATGTTTCTATTGTTGTGACATGTGATGTCTTTGGCGCCTGCCAAAGAACTGCCCCATCTGCTTCTGATGCGAAAATCGCAAATGTTCGATGACACTGTCGGGATTCTCCTGCGCGGCGCGTTCCCTCGCTGATTGTAACAAATGAAGGCCGACATAGGCCGACCATGTACTCCGCACTCGGTTCGAGGTTTGTAATGGAGGTGAGCCAACGCGAAATCCATCTGCCAGCGGTTTCGGCAGAACCACGCTTCTTGTGATATTCCAAGTGATTCATAGTGATGCTATGAGTGGATGAAGGGCTCTGAGTTAAACTCCAAGCAGTAAGCAGCAAAGCATTGGCAAAGGGCCTTTCAAGGGGTGTTTTCAAACGATTTCGGCAGATCCAAACCCGCCCGTGTTTTCCAACGCCCCAGCCAGTCCTTAATGGCCACTGCCAGTTCCCGCACCGCGTTGGAATCCAACCAATTACTCCTCGTTCACTTCGGAACCGAGCCCTTCGTCGATCGAGGAACGAGCCCTTCGCAGTCGATGCTTGCACCGTTCGTAGTGTCCTGGTTGCTAGTAGCGATGCCCGAAATGCTCCGTTCGTAGCGAACATTGCTCCTAGTAGTACCGCCAGGAGCCCCGTTCGTAGCTTCTTGTTCCTAGATTGGGCGCGAAGCGGTTTCTCTTTTTGTTCAGGTCCCTGAAGTTGAGAACATCGACCGAACGAACCTGGAAGTTCGCATTCGCCGATGTTCGGCGGATGGATAGTAAACAAGCTGGTTGACTTGGATGATTTCCATGGTGACACCGAACTGCTGCATCGTCGAACACCGTCGCTGCCACCAAAACACTCGAGATTCACAGACTTCACCGTGGTGTTCTGCCGCAACGAGGTCCCAAGCTCACAGCCCTGCGCCTCGACGGGTTTTGGGGAGGGTGACAGGGGGAAACCCTCGCTCAGGAAGTCATGTGACCACTATTTTCCCAAGAACTTTTGATCATAACCTGTGCACCAGAATTCGAACGGATATCACATTACTGGATTCCTTGATCATTTCACCGCAGTCCCATATGTGTTTATTTTTTCCGTGCTTCTGGGTGGGTTTTGGGGGTTTTGGGGTGCTCATTCTCAAAGATGGTTGAAGCAATACCTTGGGTGTATCCTATTCCCTGTAACGCCTGGTTGCAGGCCGACCAGGCCCTTCCATCTCTAAAAGAGTACTTTTGCTGGTTTACTGGGACACCCCAGGCGCAACATGGAACTCTCTCCTTCTGTTTCAGTGTTTTGAGCTGGTCGACCCGAGGCCAGGGTCCCAACTCTATAAGTATCCCATTTCTGCAGGGCTTCCTCTTGCTCCATTGCCTGTTCATCCCTTTTCTAAATCCTTTTCTTATTTCTCACTGTTCTGTTTGCCCCAAAACTCGGCGCGCGTGTATCCGCCCGTGCACTGGAACGGTGCGGGCTCGACCCATGGTCTTGACGCAGATCGGCGCGGAAGTGGAGGACGGAGGGTTTAGCTGCGGCAGCTTGGACGACATTTGGCCCCCCAAGAGTCAACGAAGTGCTTCCAGGTCCAAAACATAGGCATCGATTTTGGATTCCAAACGTTGTCCTTTGGCATTTGTTCAAGGACCGGGCCAATCCTGAGAAAGTTCACCCACCACGACATGCGCAAGCAAGCTTAAGTTCTGAAAAGAACACCCCGAGAAATGGGGTTGAAGCAGCTATAGGAACACCTACTTAGGACCTACTTTGATGGATGTCCTTTAAAATTGGAACAATGCTCATCAAAGTCAATCGTTATTGGTAAAGGCCTTTCTCTAAGATAGTGATCATGTTAAACATGACTGTTACAGTAATAGGAAAAACAAGATCTAGTTTGGTTAGACCAATCCTGCAGTACTTCACACTAATTCCTTTCAAAACCAGTCTCGTCGGAACCAGCGGGAAGCGAAGCTTCCGAAGCGAAGCTTCGTCTCGCCTTCTGCAGATTGGAATTGGACAGCGTCAAGATCTCGATATGAGTATTCCTGCGGGCAGGCAGGGGGTGGGTATTTCTGCAGAACTACCACATGCACCCAAAATGCATCCAAAAACCAGAACCTGTGATCACCCGGTGCATTCGGAGTTGGACGAAATGTTCCTAAATGAGAAGAACCAACTGTAGAAGCACTGGAGCTCAGGTGAAAGCATCGACCAGGGAACCCCTCGAGGCGTTACCCCTCGTTTCTCGGGGCGGTCCGAAGGCCGGAGCGTTCCCGCCGAGTTCGGCGGTGGATCCAGGCAACTCCAATGGGTTGATGCATCCCAGACACTCCATGGGACTGCCATCTATGCCGATCAGTTGGGGTAGGTTTGGGGGTCAATGTAGGCATATATGATCATATATAAGTGCCTGCGAATGATCAACTCCCGCTTTCGGAAATATGGGTGAACTTTCTCGATCTGCATAAGGGAGGTGGTTGATTCATGTCACCGTTGACCATCTGCATCGACAGGACAGCCTCACACGACCCGCGAGCCTCGCCATCGCATTCACCAGCTTTGGTGCGATGCGGGGTTCGATGTGCCCTGGAGGCATGTGCCTGCCCGACGCGGAGGAGGCATGTGCTGTGCATGTGCCTGCGAGAGGACTGCTCCTTCCATTTCCTCGCAGCTCTATTGAAAGTCCCCAAGACTGGCCAAGACTAGCCTCTTGAAGCTTTGCCATTGCTAGTTGTCTGCACAATAAAGTTTCATGAACTGCCTCATGAGTTTCCAGAATCATCTGCCCAAACCACATGCTAAGCATAGCCGTTTTCTTTAAATTTTAGAGATTTTAAAGTGGTGTCCCAGTCACAATCCCCAAACACTCCTCGGGACTGGCATTTATATACATACATAGAACATTGGGGTGGCTTTAGGATTTTTCAGGGATCACTGGACATTAGGTACAGTAAATCTTCCAGTCTGTCCCATTTCTCGTGTCTGGGATCCATCTCAATCTTTCATGCCGTTGCCCGGTGCTTCTCAGGTGTTGGACTCCAGTCCAATCACGAACTTCACAGTTTCACTCTGGTGATCAATGGGGAGGGTGACACTCCCTGCAACACCTGTTGTTTTAATACGGGAACATGTTCATCCGAAATGGCCCCGCCATGCCACATGCTTGCCGTGCTTCTCTTGCAGCGTGTTATCCTGCAAGCCAAACTCCAAAGCTACTTTGCCCGGAACGACCCGGATCCCAAATCCCATGAAATCCCCACAAAAAGGCTCCGTGCTTGTGAGTTCGATTTGGTCCAAGGCGCATGTTTCCAAAGTTGAAGTCCACCAAGCTGGGGTCGTTCAGCCAAGCTCGGTGCACCTCGGTTCTGTTTGGCGCCGCGTTGGCCACAGCGGCGCGCCAGGCGCTCCAGGCGTGGTCTCTGGGGCCCTGGGCCATCCAAATCATCCAGTCGCCATAGGAGCCCCTGGGCAGGACAGCCATCTCCAAATGTTGATATCATGTTGATTACAATGTGAGGTTGTGCAAAAACCCTCTACCTTCCAGAAAAGACGGACATGCGAACAAGGAATGTCTTACATGGGGCTTCTTTTCAATACTCTCTCATGCGGTGATCTTGTTCGAGTTGGTGAGACATGCAAGGCTGCTCACACAAACTACACCCCAAAGCTCACGCAGGTCCTGCTCTTAAGAAGTGCATTTGGGACAGAAATCGCAACTCTTAAGGCATCCCCCGTTTGGTTTGGACCACCAAACCTTGGATCCCAAGTGAAAGGCTCCCGCATTCCACATCGTTCTAGATTCCAACCATCTGCTTCCAGGCCAAGCACGGACACGAAAATACCAGTCTATGTGAGCTGGTTCCAGGCCCCACGTCCTTGAGCTGTTGCCAAGCTCAAGAGTCCCCTCCCCTCACGCCCAGATCGGGGATTTGGGTTGAATCCTTTCCAGCTGGCGCCTGATTCTCGGCGGTTCAGGCAGCAAGTTCTCGATCTGCGTGACCTCAGCGAGAACATCATGCAGCATGCAAAGGAAGTGGGAGGCTCCAAGACATGAACTGAGAGAAATTTCTTGGCACCGGACCATGGTCCTGGTACTTTACAGACCATACTGAAGAGTGGAGTGGAACAGTGGCACCAAGCTGGGGTTCTGCCTTCTTCTTGGAAAGGTCGACCTGGTTGCCGGATCGCTTTCCGGTCCCGGGCACCCCCGGCTGCTTCCACCTGCGTCGCGAAGGCCTGAACCACAGAACCAGCGAGATCGAACCTCGACCAAGCCGTCTGCAAGTACACTTTCCAGTGCACAAAAAAGGCCATGAGACAGTTCAAGAACTGAATTACTCAGTTGTTAGAGAACTGGTTGCCCTGGCAGGGCCAAACGAAATACTCCAATTGCGCCTGCCTCATTGATGGACATGGTCCCCACTTCGTCACCTTCCGGCTCGTCCACCTCGACAGAAGTGGATGGCACCCCAAGACCCATGTCGACCGAAAGCAGGGGGGAGCGAAAGGAGGTTAAAGGTCTATGACAATGAAGTAGACAACAATTAGACAATGGGGTCGGTCATACCGTCATATCTCATCATTCTTCTCCATGATCTCCATTGTTTGAGCCTCCAAGGCCCGGCCCCCTGCATCCCAGGGAGCTGAACAAAACCTTCGGGTGGGGGAAGCTCGTCGAGGTGTCTGCGCAAGATCACAGCTCAGTCACGAGCGATCCGGAAGGATCGGTCTTTGGTGTAGGTCCGAAAACACGGATTCTCATGGATTCTCATGGTGTCAAGATCATCTCGGATATTTTCACTCAAAATCATGATATCATGATATATCATGATGGTCATGTTTTTGCATATTCCTCTTTTTTTGGAATGAGAACTATTGACTGTCATGCAAGGTCTCGGTTGGGGAAGGTCCTTCAGGATCGTCCTGATGACTGGGCCATGCACTCGTAAGACCAGCTCGGTGGAGGAAGTGGCCTTGGGATTCGCAGGCCATGCGACCCCGAGTCTGGGATTCACGGGATATCACAGGATCGCACTGGGGGAAGTAGACCACACTGCAAGGGGATGACTTAGTCTAGTGAGTTTTC